AGCCGGTCTTCCTCAGCAAAAAGAGGAGGATTAGCATGGATGTTAGCTCAGGGCTGATCTTCCTCACAAAAAAAAAAATAAATGTAATCATTTACTAAGTACTCTTTTCGCATCTGACTTCTTTCATTCAACTTCACTTTTTATGATCCAGATATGTTGTTGTATGTATCAGTATATTTTTTATTGCTGAATGGTACTTTATTTAAATATACTACTGGTTTTCTAGATGTCTTTTCGTTAATTATTTTTAATTTAATTCTCTTGTTGTTAGGGAACACATTCTGTATAGTTTCAATCCTTTTAATTTAATGAGAGTTTCTTTTGGCCCAGTGTGTGTTCTATCCTGGTGAATGTACCATGTGCCCTTGAAAGGAATGTGTATTGTGCCATTGATGAGTGCTTTATACGTATCAATTAGGTCAAAGTGGTTTATAGTCTTATTTATATCTTCTGTGTCTTTACTGATTTTTTTAATCTAATTTTTTGTCAATGTTATGGGGAAGGGAATTTAAAATCTCCAACTATGATTGTGGACTTATCTTTATCTCCCTTTAATTCTGGCAGTTTTTGCCTCATGTATTTTGCCTTTCACTAAATTTGGAAGGGTTTCAGATATTATTTCTATAAATATTTATTCTCCACCAATCTCTTTCTCCTTTCCTTCTGAGAATTTAATGACATCAATTTTGGACGTTTTGATAGCATCCCTCAAGTCCTTTAGGCTCTATTTTTTTCAATCTTTTCCCCTCTGTATTCTTTATGTAGGATAATTTCTCTTGATCTGTCTTCAAGTTCAGTGACTCTTTCCTCTGTCATCTCCATTCTGCTGTTGACTCTATTAAACTATCCAGTGACTTTTTTTTTTAATATTATATTTTTCAGTTCTAAAATTCCCATTTGGTTCTTTTTTATAGTTTCTGTGTCTCTGCTGAAAACTCTGCCTCTCCATTCATTTCAAGAGTGTTCACCTTTATCTCATGGAGCATGGTTATTATAGCTTCTTTAAAATCTGTCTGATGCCAGCATCTGAGTCCTCTCGTATGTCTGGCATCTGTTGATTGTCTTTTTCTCCTGAGAATTGGTCACATTCTTCTGTTTTGGTTTGGTTTTGTATGTCCAGTAATTTTGACTTGTATCTGAACATTTTGATTATTGTGAGATTCCAGATCCTGTTAAAATCCTCTGCGGAATGTTGATTTTTTTTGTTTTTTTTTGTTTGTTTGTTTTAGCAGGCAGTCACCCTGGTTAGGTTTAGACCACAAATTCTGTCTCTCCTTCTGTGGGTGGTGGATTCCAATGTCAGTTCAGTTTTCAAATCCTTTACTGTGCTATTTGGGCCTATCTTATGCATGTATCACTCGCAGGTTAATCTGATCCTTGTGTGGTGAGTTATTAGTAGTTTAGTTTTCAAATCCTTTGCTTTTTTTATTCCCCCTTGGGTCTGTTTATCACATGCATAGCTCAGGATGGGCCCAGGGCTTGTGTCAGCTGATCCACGGAAATAAGAGATTCCTTTTGTGTAGATCCAAATTTCCATGTGGTATCATTTTTCTTCTGCCTCAAGAATTTTCTTAAACATTTCCTCTAGCGCAGGTTCCTTGGCAATCAATCCTTCCAGCTTTTGTTTTATTAAAGAATTAAAGAATATCCCCCCTTTTTCTGATTTCCAGTTACACCAATTTTAGACAGCATCATATTGTCCCCCAAGTCCCTGAGGCTCTGTTTATGTTATTTGGTGTATGTGGGCTTCAGTTTGGATAGTTTCTGTTGCTGTGTGTTCAGACTCACTGATGTTTCTTCCTCAATGTCGAACCTGCTGTCCATCCCATCTAGTGAATTTTTCTGCTCAGATAGTGTTATTTTTCAGCTCTAGAAGTTTCATTGAGTTCTCATTTATATCCTCCGTTTCTCTCCTCGTTATATTCATGTTTTTATTTAAATCGTGAGCATAGTTATAATAGCTGTCTTTAAGTCGCTGACTGCTAATTTTGTCTTCTCTGTATATTTTTTGCCTCTGCTTCATTAGACTGCTTTTTCTCCTGGTTGTGGGTCACAATTTTTGGTTATCTAGTAAGTTTTGATTGGATGCTAGACATTGTGTATTTTGTGGCATTGAGTGCTAGAGCTTATCTTCTTTTAAAGAAAACTGGACTTTGTTCTGGCACACGGTTGTTTCTTAATGATTAGTTTGTCCTTTTGAGGTTTGTTCTTAAATTCTTTAGGGTGAGTCTAAAGTAACTTTTGTTCTAGGGTTAATTCTACACTACTACTGAGGTGTTTCTTGTCTGGGATTTCTCCTGAATGCCGTTTGTTCAGTAAAGACTCTCTACTCTGGCTAGCTGGAATGCACAGGTCTCCCAGCTCTGGGTGAGCTCTGGGAATTCAGCTTATAGCTGTCAGTGATTCTTTGCCTGGTCTCATGGCATTTTACCTACACACGCATGACTTAATATCCAGCAATATCTTCAGGGGACCCCATGCAGATTTCTGGACGTTTTTCTGTACACGTAGTTTTCTCCTTTGCTGTACTCTGCCCTGCAAATTCCAGCTCCTCTCAGAGAGCCTGCCCTGCCTACTTATGTTCCCCCATCCCTGCACTACAGTCTGGAAAGTGCCTCCAGGCTCATTTCCTCTATTTCCTTTCTCCCAAGGTTCAAAATCCTGTCCTGCCTATTATACAATGTCTGTAAACATTTGTTTAATATATTTTCTCCAGTCGTCTACTTGATTATGGAAGGAGGGATAGCCCAGTCCCAGTTACTTCTTGCTGGCAGAGGCAGAAGTCCAGTCCAGCAATATTAACATAGTGCATTCAGTGCTCAGCCTGTGAGGGCAGAGTAGGGTTGCAGTTACCAGAGGTTATCCAGAGGAAGTGGAGTGCTGGGTCTGATGAATGAGTAGAAGTTAAGGAAAGCAGTGGGAGGAAAGGGCTTTTCAGGCCTTTATGAAAAGACCTGTTTGGGATTATCCAGAATGTGCTGGAGTGCCACTGGAGGATTTAATCAGTAGAGTGATACTACTGGGGTTACATTCAAGCTATGTTTTTGATGTAGTTCTGCCTGCTTGGATCATGATTGTCAATCTGGGCTATATATATGAATCACCTGAAGGGCTTTACAACCTACACATGCCTTGAATTCACTCCAGACCAATTAAATCAGAGTGGGGATAGAGAAAGGGACTTAGACTTTTTTTTAAA